GGTAAAACACAGCGTTCACAAATAAGTTTTTGCAGAATTGAAAATAAAGGAGTCTGAAAAGGTTTTGAATAAGTAGCATTAAATGAATACAGAAATATTAGGGACTTAGAAAACATTAGATTTGAGCGTTTTCATGCATCCCGTCAAAAAAGTGATTTGCCTAGAAATTATTGTAAACCAATTATAAACGCATAACTGAACCCTACAAAATCAATTCACAACTGCAGAAGGAAATGACTATACCAGTTATCGCATTTAAAATGAAAACAACCAAAAAATAGTAACCCACGCCTTTTATTTTGCTACAGTTGATAGCAGAGGACATGTGTGAATGATTTAAACATGCTTGTCATTTGGGTGCTCACAAGTAGAAAAAAATTTGACTGAGTAAAAAGTCAGAAACTCAAGTTTAGATCGATTCTGCAGTAATTTAAGAGTTTAACCCAACAGGACATGTCTGTAGCCAGAGAATGTAAAACTTTTCCCAAAATATTTTGTCATCTAGATGTAAGGACGTACCAACAACTTTATTAGCAAGTTACCAGTGGTGAGATGGTTAACTGATAGCTAAAAATCACAACTAATAGCTCGAAAGGGTTTTGAGTTGTCATGTAGTGGTATCATTATATCGCGGTTACCAAATATAGTGGTTTGTTTGCATTACTTCAATACCCTGCTAGTCACGAGGTCGATGCAATACGAGAAGATAGGCAGAACAGTTGATAACGGACTCGACCGTGTATTAGCGTCACACCAGCCCAGTAGGCTCGCGTTCAGGTGCGTCAGCGAATGACATGTTCAGAATGTCCCAGCCGTAATATGAGGGAGATTGGGACAACAGAATAGGCCTTTTGCACAATCACAAGCCAAAACCACACGTCAGACTTCGTCCAACCGAGTCCACCACGCTAGCTGCACTGCTCATTAAAAACCGTTACTCACACGTGTCCGTCTCTCGTTGGCTACATGTCTTCCTCGCATGCCATTCGGACATAAATAGACAGGGGATTGACTACGACCGGCGTGGTCCAATATGTCAGCGCCCTTATACGTCGCTACACTGCCTCCCCCTCATGAGGGAAGCTATCCTCAGCTTCTGACTTGGTTACATTTACTGTTGATGACTGACAACATATCCAGTTAAACACTCCCCGATACCTCGCATCTGGAATAATAGTAGACGAGGGACTTTGCTCTTGTTGACTTGCAGGAAGGCCGCTTCATCCTCGTCCAGTCCAACTGGCCTCGACTGACCTGGATGTCCTTGCTGACTTGCCGATGCTTCTTGGGAAGCAGCAGTCCTAATTCCGGGCAATGTCTCTAGATCCAGTGCTTAGAACATCGATTGACAACTGCAGCTAGCATTTAAGCGTTGAATCTAAAAAACCAAAGCAGTTTGATTTACGCAATAGTTTTAGCTTCAAGCATTAATGGTTTAAAGAAAGTTAAATTGTGATAATTGACATGATGATTTATGATGCAGTCTAAAGGGAGCAGTGAAGTAATTCCCACAAACTTTATGGAATTTGTTAGAAGTGGTAAATAAGAATCGGTAGCTTGAATTCACCAACGTAATTTAAACCAGCTTTCAAACATGCATTAGCATGGTCAGAATCAATGCCCTTCAGGTGTATATTCTTTACTAAAGAAAATGCTTTACAGATATAATTTTACAGAGACTTACTGTAGCAAAACACTTATTTGTCTTTTGGTGCCTGAAAAGTCCAATTATGCTGGTCTTGTTCAAGATTCTAGGGGAACGCATAAACACTAAATTCACACACTGATTCCAATTATTGTGCACTTTTGTATTCACCTAATCAATCGATTAAAAAAAGCTGGATTTAGAGGCCAGCTCATAAGACATAAAAGGTTGTTTACGGAAGGAAATGATAACCAGAGCCCGTTGCAGTAGCAACTTTCTTGACTGCAGTTACACATCGAAAACGAACAGAAAGAAATGACACTAAATCCCAGCTTCAGTGATTCATCAAATTCTACTTTAACTCATACTTCGTATACTCCGTAATGCTACAACAGTATTAATTTACACTAGCTTTTTGTGGACATCGAAGTTAACCTGGCTTTCGTAGAGAGGGAAGTGATACTTGCGCATCCAGTAAAACCATTGAATCAATCCCATTTACCTGCATTACTAGGCATGATTAAAGTAAGAAGTACATCAGTTAAATAAGCATCGTAATGGAAGCGTCAATGAAATACATTAATCACATATGTAATGCATGAAACAAGTTAGTAAACAAAGGCTGGAAAAATTAATTTAATATCTAGAAATAATATTGCAGTACCTCTAGCACAATGATCGAAAAGACTATATAAAAAAAACAAGATTTTTGCTTATACCATTCAACCTTTACATTTATAGAAGCTTAGATGGAATGTTCAGGGTTTTGGAATTGACATAGTTTCATTTTTTTAGAAGAATCGTTTCAAGGTGCATTTTAGAGTTATATTAAACACTAATTTAAAACCTTTAATTCTAAACTTTTAACATACTGCTGCATGTTTAAATAACTTCAGTCTTCATTCAAATTTTCAAAAACCATGGTGTTAGAAATAAATAAGCATTTCCACTCAACAAATAAAAAATTACGGATTTGCTAATATAATTAAAAAACTGTTAAAATTAAAACATTGGTAAATTTTTAAGTAAAATACCACTAGAGATTCAGAAACCGAGTTCGCGTTGTTTTACATAATGTCAATTTCCCCGCTAAGTGAGGTCGTGGCGTGTCTTTTGGTGGTGGTGGGCTTTCTTCACGCGTTTTTGGGATTAGGCAGCACTCATTAATTTGTGCTCTTTAATATGATTCAGAAATTGATATGCATTTCCGCGATGTAATTTGTCGGGGGTGTTTTTGAGAGGCTCCGCCTTGTAATGTGTCGTAGCCAACCCCAGAGTTTCTGGT